AGTACTAGCATCCTAAAGGGAACATCCCCTAAAGAAGTCTCCAGATTTAGGAACTCTGGGCGTGCTTCTGGTTGAGCAGCGGGATTTTAATTCCAGTGTTGGTCTTTGGAGAGCCCCAGAGCGTCATGTGGGTGGCGCATTATGAATAATTGATTAGGTGTCTGATAATCTACTCGACAGACGTTCATCGAGTGCATGCTGCTCTCCAGCACTAAGCAAATTTAGGCTGCCAAGACCCAGTCCTGGTCCTCAGTGCAGCAGAAGGATACACTAACAGACGCAGTCAAGCGCTTTGATGGTGGGAAACTGGCTTTCGTAGGCGCCCGGCCGACACCAGAAGGGGCAGCCAAGTCTTCCAGGGGGATAGAGAAGCCTGAACTGAGCTGTGAAAGGTAACTGGGCCCCTGTAGTCTTGGAAAGAGAATTCTGAGCAGAGGGAACAGCAAACAGGAAGTCGCCCAGGGAATCTGAACATTTTCCCAGAGCTTTCGCTGAAAGGTTTTGGCCAGGTGGGATTTTATATGTTGAGGAAGTCCTATAATCCTGGCAGCTGTGTCTCGCACTCAACTAATTTTTTCATTCATCCTGCTCCCTTGTTGCCATATGATTTCTTGGGGTATTGGACAAGATCCCTTGAAAGGAAGGGAATTCTATGATGGAGAACCTCACAACCATTTTAGCCCTGCTTGGGCTTCAGAGACACTCCCTTACGTTGGGGAACGTTGAGGCTTGCATTCTTTTAGGAAATGCGTATGATCAGGAACGTATCAGGAATGAAATGTATCAGGAAGTAGGAGCAATGTTTAAGGTAACCTGTTATGGAAAGATATCCATGTTATGTTAAACAAAAACACAAGGTGCTATACAATATGTATGGGATAATATTTGTGGGGAAAAAAATAAAGGATCTGTATATGAATATACATTCTTTAATCACACATTTTGTATATTTGGGGTTTACCTATACATGAGATATTTAAGGATAGAAGACAGTTCAATAAAAATGGCTACATTTTGTAAGAGGAGGCTCTCACCATTTCCTTTGGGTACATCTGTGTTATTGGAGTAAAAAAATGCATTCTTTTCATAATAAAATAAATGAAAAAAATGTAATCTGCTAAATTATTCCATCCTTCTGGGATCACACAGGGAGCCCTTCAAATCCAGGCATCCCTGATCCTGTGTTTTCTACAGATCCCAGCAGAGAAAGGGTAAAAGCACAAATTTTCTTCCCAGAATGGGGGGTGGGGGTAGAGAGGATGAGAGGGAGTCCCTCCACGTCTCATGGTTTGGGAGGGGAATCGCTCTATTGAAAAACCACAAATGGATAAGGTAGCGTTCACAAATGAGGATGTGGATCCCTAAGAATCAGATGACAAGTCTAGATTCTACCAAGAAAACCAAAACCAGCTTCTGCCCCCCCCCCCCTACCCCCCCGGAGAGGGGCTGCCTGTGCTAGGAAGTCAGTCCTGGGGGGCTTAGCCTTTGGCCTAACCTCAGCTTCTTACAACAGGGCTCTGTTCACAGGGCCCACTCAGTACAGTGCTGAGTGTGAGAGAGCGGGAAGATCTGCTTCCTGCTCTCCTGAGACAAGACTAGATCGACAGGTACCAAACACTGAGAACCAAAGTCTCAAACTGTATGTCCTCAAGCGTTAACAGTGTGAAACCGGACTACTCAGCATAGAGAGGGTTCACTGAAGCCGGAGCTGTTTTCATGTCATTTAACAGCTGCAATGCTTTTTTCCACTCCCTTCCGTCCTCCCCAACCCCCCAGTCTTGAAATGCCATCCTCTCCCCACTTTCCAAGTTCCGTTGGTTTGGGAAGTTCCCTCTGAACTTTAAAGACAGGGATGAGGACTTGTCCAGAGATCCCTGCTTGATCCTCTCCAGATCGGGTTACGGGTTACACGTGCTGGGGGCCTCTGAGGCTGTCACTCCTGCTGCACTCACCACAACCTACCTTCAACACCTGTCTAATTGGGTCAGTCTTCCCTCCTCCAATGTTTCTGCTGGGAGGCAGAGAGTTCCCATGTGTCCCCGGTGCCTGGTCAGTGGCTGGCACAGATCAAGCTCTCAAAACCTGTTGTGGAATGAATGAGAGTCATGGGTCACGGGAAGGTTTTAGTGAAGATTTGGAGAGCAGATTTTGGGAGTTCTTGGGAGTTTTTGATTGGTAGAGAGAGGGGGAGAACCTTCCTGTCAAGGTGAATGATTTCCACAAGTGGAGTAACTCTGCCCTGAGAAAGTTCTATGCCACTCTATTGGGCCTCCCTGTTTTATTTACTTGACAGCGCTTATTTCCATCTGAAATTCTGTTTATTTGCTTGTTTATAAACCATCTCTTTCCTCTGTCACTCTGTGATGCAAGTGCCGCTGGACAGGGATCTTGTTGGTGAGGACCTTGTCTTTTTTGTTACCTTTCTTTTTTACTTTTCCTTTTCCAAAATTTTTTGCATTCCCTTAACCCCGGCGTATAGAACAGCACTTGGCATACAGAAGGATCTTAAGAAATAACTGTCGACTAATTTCACAGGGTGAACGTTTTTACTCCCCCATCCCAACGTAGTACAGTTTTACACAGACCCTTTCTTTCAGTTTTCCAAACCATCAATTCTGAATTTGCTGCTACACTTTCCGTGTCTGGCAAAAATACCAACCCTCAGAATAAGAGGTCATTGCCATGTAACCATTCCGGCCGTCTTGGTTACTCTGATTCCATCATAGTCTCTCAGCCTAATAAGATTGAAAACACACAGAGGGTCCTTACTGTTTGTTTACCATCTTGAAAGCCCTGGGGAAACTCGAAGAATGAGTTCTTGAAAGCCCTGGGGAAACTCGAAGAATGAGTTCGTGTTTGGAAAAGCAGAAGAGCTGTTACCAGAAGTGGGGTTCGAACCCACGAGGATATAAATCCATTGGATCTTAAGTCCAACGCCTTAACCACTCGGCCATTCTGGTACGCTACAAGCTCGCGGTTACTTTTAGTCAACTTGAACAATATAGAGTTATGAAGGTATCTAAACAATTAAAAATTTGGATTGAGATGTAAAAGGACAATGTGGGGGCGAAAAAAATCTCCGAAACTTACCAGGTCGTGCCAATTTCTCCGCCTCCAGTCACCGGAAACCCTGGGGTCCCCTGAAGGCGACTGGGAAGACTCGGGTGACAGGTATCCCAACAACTTCACACGAGAAGACACCACAGGGAGTTGGAATGAGTTTCCTTCCTTTTCATAGTACGCGAGTGAGATGGGGAATTTTAAAGGTGTTAAGGTGGGTTTTTTCTTCACTTCCCAAAACAAAAGCGACTCTGGTGGGACTCGAACCCACAACCTTTGAATGCCTCCATCTATCTAGAAGTCCAATGCGCTATCCATTGCGCCACAGAGCCAGGCAGCTGGACCCTTCCGCGCTGCTTACATCAAGGCAGGCGCAACGTCTGCCCCGGGACACCCGCCGCGGGTCCGGCCGCGCCTTCCTTCTCGGAGAAGTGGCGGAGCCCGTGCAGCCGAGGAGAAGCGTGGGTGGGAGCTGCGCTTGGCGGCCCGACATCCTTCTGATAGTTCCTCTCCGTAAGCGGTCGCTGGGCATCAACTCTCAGTCTCCTCCCACACTGGAAAGAGAGAGGTCTTTATGTGCACTTATTTCACCCTGGAGAGCCATTGGAGCGCGCGGTTCCATAGTGTAGCGGTTAGCACATCTGCTTTACGCGCAGAAGGTCCTGGGTTCGAGCCCCAGTGGAACCATGAGGCTGTCCTCTTCCCTTTTAGCGATGTTTTCAGGTTTTGCTTCGTCAGCCAGATCTTGAGTTTTACTCCGGGAAGCGAGAGACGCCGCGGTTCCGCCGGGACTTGGCGTTGAGCCAGGCCGCGCGGGCTCCGGTCCGGTGGGCGCCTGCGCAGATCGGCCGCCGCGGCTGCCCCCGGGTGGCGCCTCTGGGGAGGTGCAGGCCGCCGGGCGGGGCTCCGGGCGCAGCGCGCCTCGGCGCCTGCGCCTTCCCGACCGCAGCCCTGCCTCCCGGTGGCTGGGCAGGAGTCCTGGGCCCACCTGCTCCTCCGCCACCTTTAAAGGTGGCGGCCACCTCCTTCTTTTGTTGATCAACACCAACTCCACTGACCTCATTGTTTATTGAAATTAAAAATCTTCTTGAAAAATTACATGCACATGTTAAAGATTTCAAAGAGCTCCACGTGTCTTACAGTGATGTGCCCCTCTCACAAAGCTTGTCTCCTTGACCAGACTCAGCTCCCCTGAGCCCTCCTGTCAGTGAGGCCTGTCAACCCCGGCCTAGGAAGACTTGAACAAACAACAACGCTGAGTTTCTAGCAGCATCCTAAGGTGACCCTAGGTCCACTTACAGTGCTGAGAAGACTGGCCAAACAATTTACTGTTGGTTCCAGCCAACGCCTGACACAGGGCCCCTGTGTTTCAGCCTCTGTGGGAAGGTAGGAGCCTGACTTCCTTAGAGTTAAGAACCAGTTTAGCAAACCCACATGAGGTTTTCAGGGACCAACTCCACCTGCTTCCAGGTTTTTGTAATTTTCGCTCCCTGGGTCTACTGAGCTGCCATCACTCGCCTCCCGGTCCCCTCATGTACAAATCGAAGGTGAGTGCAGTTGACGCTGGACACTTCTCCCTCTTGCCATAGTATATTACTGATTAGAATCTGTGCTGTTCCCTTTAACTCGTGTCCAGCTTTCTCTTGGATACCTCCTGCCTTTCAACTGCTGGGGGTTTCTTTTGTGACCCTTCTGAGCTATTCTTTGCACTCTCCAGTGTAGACGTGTATTTCCTTTATTAGCCACTTCGGATTTTTGTCCAAAAGATAGCATACGATTGGTACTGCTCCCCTCAACCCAACACTATTCTGGAAATCTTACTATGTCGTTCTTAAGTCTGCTCGATCTTTGACTTCCAGCGTTTGGATGTACCATAATTGTTTAGTCTGTGGTATTTGATGAACAATTAACCTGTGGTCCATCTTACAATGCTGTGGTGGATTTCCTTGTTGATTGGTTTTGGGGGTAGATCAACATAAAGAGTAGTAATAGCAAAATCTTGACTAGGCGTTTCCTACGTGGTTAGGCAGGAGACTCAGTTGACTCAGGGGATACTCAGGATGATTGTGTTATGATCTAACCCATTTGGGAGACGAAGAAGAAGCATAGAGAGGGTGATTGCCCAGGGTCACACTGGCCAGGGACAGAACAGGGTACCAACCGAGGCAGGCAGAGTAGTGCCTTTTTGTTTTAGAAAAGGAATTGCCAGGCATATGTATGTTATATTTCTATGAATGCTTTCACCTCCAAAGAGCTTGGACAATATTATATTCCCACCAACGTTAGCGTGCTTTGCTTCATCTCAGTCTCTCTTAAATAAAAAGTATTAACGGGCTTTTGGGTCTCTCTGCCTTTTGAAAGGGGAAAATGTCTCAATTTACATGTCTTTTATCAGAGTAAGGTTGAACATTTTTTCATATGCTTAAAAACCCATTCTCTTTCCTCCTTATCTTCCTTTTTCCCTTCCTCCCTTCCTTCCATCCTGCAATCTGTTCAATCCTTTGGTACAGTTTTCTATTGTATTGTTAAGGTTTTCTTATTGATCTTTTGGTGCTTTTTATAACTATAGATTTAGATATGTTTGCAAATGTATTTCCCAGACTTGCTGTTTGCCTCTTAATTTTATTTTTGCTACTTTGTGCTATGCAGCCATTTAAAACGGTTAATGTAGTCAAATTCATTATCCTCTTTTTTATTTATTTTTGAGGGGGGGGGGCTTTAAAATTTCTTGCCTGGAAAGTGCTTCCCCATTCTGAGAGTATATTCCAAAAGTGATGCTATATTTTCTCCAGATTATTATTTCCTTAAAATTTATCTGTTACATCGTTGGTCCTTTTGAAATCTCTATAACTAGTGCTGTGGTCTGAATGTTTGTGATGCCCCAAAGCTCATATGTTGAAAGCTAATCCTCAGGGTGAAGGCTGGGGATGGGGGGGGGGGGGGAAGGTCCTGAGTATAAAACCTTATGTGGGATTAGTGCCCTTTTAAGAGAGATGCCAGAAAGTTCCCTCACCCCCTCTGCCATGTAGGACGGCAAGAAGGCAGTGATCTATCAACGAGGGTGTGGCATTCTCACCAGACACCAAATCTGCTAGTTCTTTGACCTTGGTCTTCCCAGCCTCCAGAACTGTGAGATGGGTTTCTGCTGCTTCTAAGCCACCCAGTCTGTGATATTTTTGTTACAGTAGCCTGAACAGACTAAGACACTGGATAAACCATGAGACGACATTAGACCCTTATAGAGGGATTTTATAAATCACTCTGGAGGATTGGGGTGTGTAAATCAGTCAACTTGGTAAAAATCACATAGTTTTCAAAAATCAGACTGGTTCTGCCTGTCTCTAGCTTCAAGTTCCTTAACATCCTGTCCTTAGAACTTTCCAGGAGTTCTGCTGATGTTGGCTTCCCTTCTGGTACTCATTGGGCTCATCAAGCCACCTTCCTTCCGCTTTTCTGTGTTGCATCGGCTGGGCTCCTTCCCTTCTCACAAAGGGCATAGCTTTGGGTGGCGTAGCGCAGACTATAGAAGCTCAGCCTGTGGACTCCAGAGCCAAACTGTGGCTTCAGTTCCCGGTTCTGTCGCTCTTGGTTGTGTGACTGTGGCACAGTACATAACCTGTCTGTGCTGTGTGACACTGGCTTGGTTGCTTAACTGCTCTGTCATAGTTTCCTCCTCTGTAAAATGCAGATAAAGCTCAGGTGAGATTCTCAAGAAGATTGAGTAAAGTACTGTATGTGAAACATTTTGTTTATTTATTTATTTATTTATTTATTATTTTTAGAGACAGAGAGAGAGGCAAAGGGAGACAGAGAGAGAGCGAGAGAGAGAGAGAGCGAGAGAGAGAGAGAGAGAGAGAGAATCCCAAGCAGGCTCCACACTCAGTGCAGAGCCCAGCTCAGGGTTAGTGGGATCATGACCTGAGCTGAAATGAAGAGTCAGTGGCTCAACCGACTGAGCCCCCCAGATGCCCCTGTACATAAGTATTTCAAATGACATGCATGGGGTAAACACTTAGCAAATGTCATCTACCATCATCATCATCATCATTATGATTTGGCAGATAAGTCTGGTAAGTTTAGGTAGAACAGTATGGTTTTCCCATAGGGACGTTTTAATTTTTTATTAAATGTTTATTTATTTTTGAGAGAGTCAGAGAGCAAGCAGGGAAGGGGCAGAGAGAGGGGAGACAGAATCCGAAGCAGGCTCCAGGCTCTGAGCTGACAGTAGAGAGCCCGATGTGGGGCTCAAACTCACGAACTGCGAGATCATGTCCTGAGCTGAAGTCCCCAACTGGGCCACCCGGGTGCCCCCCCCCCCCCCCCCCCCCCCCCAGGTGCCCCCCCCACCCTCCCACCCCCCCCACCAGGGTATTTTCAGAAAATGCTAAGTGCTCAGAGCATGAGCTCTGCATTTACTGACCTCTCTTCTTGCCTTTTAGGGGCTCAGTCTTCTTCCTTTGTCTTTTCATATGGTCTGTCCTCTGCTTCCCCTTTTCATAAGAGCATCAGTAATACGGGACTAGGGCCCATCCTAATGGCCTCGCCGTAGTGCAATTACCTCTATAAAACCGTCTCCAAATAAGGTCACGTTCTAACTTTCAGTGCCATGAGATTGTTCAGCAGGTGGTGCTGAAGAGGAGAAGGCCCTCCCCTACCGAGCCCCCCAGCGCCCCCACACTTACCATTTTACCAGCAATCTTACTCGTAGGTATTTACCCAAGGGCCATGAAAGCACCCATTTACACAAAGTTGGATGTGTAAATGTTCATAGCAGCTTTAGTCATAATCCCCACACTGGAACCAAACCGAATAGACTTGACCGGAGAATAGGTAAGCAAATGGTGGCACAGCCATGCCACTGAAAAGCCCTTAGCGAGAAAATGGAATGAACTTCCGATGTACGCAACAACGTGGATACATTTCAAAAGCGTTTTGCTAAGTGAAAGAAGCCACATGGGAGGGGCGCCTGGGGGGGTTCAGTCCTCTAAGAGTCCGACTCTCGATTTCGGCTCAGGTCATGGTCTCAAGGTTCGTGAGACGGAAACCGAGGTGGGTTCTGTGCTGATAGCGTGGAACCTGCTCGAGATTCTCTGTCTCCTTCTCTCTCTGCCCCTCTCTTTCTTAAAATAAATAAATAAATAA